ATGCATTACAACATAAAGCCAAAAGATTCATAATTGCTCACCATAACATTCTCATGTATCTAAGTCACAGCTGACACCACAATGTAGAAGTTGTACCCTCTTCTTCTCCCATCCCCACAACAATGGCCCCCAGGAGAACTTTCCACAATACCATATTCTGCAGTTTTCTTTCCCGAAGGCATGGAAGTTGGAGAAAAGGTGACACAGGCTTGCATCATCATTCATATTCTTCTTCTCTGAATTTTCCATACAATCAGAATGTCTGAGATTTGTGGTCTTTAGAGGAAATCCATGACACCTGCCTTATCACATCCAACCGCCTTAAGTGGGACCCCGATATAGGCCCATAAACTTATTTATTTACAGAAAACTTCAGCAATCTCATGTTCTCCTGTACTTTAGAACTGTAAATTCTATTTTCCTCAACCATAATACCTCATAATTGGTGGGAAGTCTAGTGACAAGGAACTGGAGGATTTCTGGATGAAAAGCTTAAGTCTATATTGACTGCAGCAATTATCCATCCTCACCAGCAGAGTGGGATTATGGTGCTATAGTTTACCTTCTTGTTGTAAAAAACCAAAGCTGCACACTGATACTTGCAATTTTAAAAAATGTATCTATATCATCTGTATGGATTTATAATAAGGATTTACTCCCCCTTGGTTTCTTTCTGTTAACAGCATTACGGAGTATCATGAACCAATTGAACATGTTATTGCATATGAAGGTTCTGTGACAATTTCAGACGTTTGGAATACTTCTGTGAATTTTACTGACATGTTGAGAAGATCTCCTACTCCTTATGGTGGACTCTTTCATAATTTAACACGAAATATTATAACCAGCTTCACTATTATTAGCTGTATTTTGGGCTTGCTGGGAAATGGAAGGACAATTTATCTACTGGCCTATTCTGTTAAGAGGAATTCTTTCACCACTTACATCCTGAATCTCTCCATCGCTGATTTTGGGGTCCTCATATCCCTCATTGTGGCATTTACATTTGTGGCTTTGTCAACTCTATTTGCAAGAACTTACCTTCTCTATCCCTTTTTCTTTTTCTTTTTCGAGCTCTTTTTCTTCACCTATTCTGCTAGCCAGTTTCTGCTGACAGCCATCAGCCTGGACAGGTGTGTGGCTGTCCTCTTCCCACTCTGGAATCGCTGCCATCGCCCGCCCTATTTGTCCACCCTAGTTTGTGGCATCATATGGACCCTCTCCTTCCTGCTCACTGCAGTGCACTTCATTCTCCACCAGACCAGTAGCCTTGGAAGTTCACCTTTACTTTACCAGCTTATTGTGAATGGTTTACTTTGCACACCTCTCATGGTTGTGTCCACTGGGACCCTCTATATGGGCTCGAAAGCACAACACAACCAAAGGAAGCTGCTGACCGCCATCTTGCTGGCTCTCCTTTTCTTCCTCCTTTTTTCTTTCCCAATGGATGCCTTTTATGTCATTGAATATTTTGGTTCCCCTCACCCCTTTCTCATGACAATTGGCATAGGATGTGCTGCTCTCAACAGCAGCATCAACCCCCTCCTCTATTTCTTAGTCGGGGGGGAAAAGACAGGAAAGGATCAGCCCAGAGCAACTTTGAGGGGTGCTCTGCAAAGAGGCTT